GGGTCAAGGCCACCATCCTCTACGCCACCGAGACCGGCCGGTCCCGCACCTACGCCTGCAGCCTGGGCGAGCTCTTCCGCCGCGCCTTCGACCCCAAGGTGGGCACTGCGGGGGCACCCAGCAGCACTGGCCCCATGGTGGGTGCCCTGTGGGCACCAGGTCCCGGCTTGGCCCCCCCCACCCCACGGGGTCCTGGTCTGGATGCCCCTTCCCAGGCATGATCCCCGCCTGCCCTGAGCCCTGGGCAGGGGGCCGGGCTGGGTGCACTTGACCCCAGCCTGGACCACGGCCCAGGTGCTGTGCATGGACGAGTACGACATAGTGTCACTGGAGCACGAGACGCTGGTGCTGGTGGTGACCAGCACCTTCAGCAACGGCGACCCACCCGAGAGTGGCGAGGTGAGACAGGGACCCTGGCTCAGCCCTGGGGGGACGCAGCCGCAGCAGGGGCTGGGGGGGCTGTGGGGTCACTGCCGAGCCCTGACCCCATTCCCCCCGCAGAGCTTCTCCAAGGCCCTGATGGAGATGACCTGCCCCTACGTGGGCATCCTGCAGCCCGAGCAGCAGAAGTGAGTGGGGGGCTGGGCCCAGGCCGCCCTGTCCCCCACCCCCATGAACCCCTGCAGCCCCCGGGGACGTGCTCAGGCACATGGACAGACTTCCCCCTCCGACCCCCCAGGAGCTACAAGCTGCGCTTCAACAGCGTCTCGCAGACAGACCCGCTGGTCAGCGCCTGGAAGCAGCGGCGCAAGAAGTCCAGCAACACGGACAGTGCCGGCGCCCTGGGCACGCTGCGGTGGGTGCCCCGCTCCCCCCCGGGCTCCTGGGTCCTCGCCTGGCTCTGGGCCGGAGCAACACGGGCACTTGGGCCTCAGTTTCCCCATCTGCCTGCAAGCAGCCATGGGGCCCAGGGCTGGGCGGGGAGTGGGGCAGGGGCCAGGGCCTTTGCTGGGGGAGGGCAGCAGAAGCCTCCCCGCAGGTGGGTGCTGGGGGGCCCCGATCCAGTGCCTCTAGCCCCCATGGTAGCCTCACTGCTGGGAGGA